CGTGGCAGTAGGTCTGGAGGCACTCATATGACAATGAGGCGTAGGGATTATGCAAGAGCTAGTCATTACCGGCGGGTAAGAGAAGATGTTCCTCGTTTGCGATCATATTGGAGTGCTACCACGTAGAAATTGTTCTGAATAACAACTGTGAATTATCCGGAAGACGTGCAAGATTACATCTGTTGTGTGTACAAGGATACAAATGTTATACAACTAAGTTTTGTGCAATTCTCACTAATGCTAAAGCTTCTCCGTATGTAAGGCCAAATTCAGTACGAAAGTCGGCGGACTTGGCACCATTTGTAGGATCCAGGATGTCTTGCAAAGTGATCTTCTCCTGTAGAAACTTGTGGCGCAATTGGTAACAAGAATGATCTGGATATTGCTGAGAGAAAGCGTCCAAACAGACGGTCATAAGGTCGGCAGTCAGAGAAGACGAGGAGGCAAATGCAGAGGCAGACGTAGAGGCAGATGCAGAGGCAGAGGCGGACATAGAGGTGGATGACGGGGTCATAGCTGCAACAGGAATTGAATCAGTTGGAGAAGCGGATAAGTTTTGAGTCGCTGTATCAGATGAAGTAGTGAGTATATGGTTCGTAATAGCATTTGAAGCTTACTGAGAGCTTTGGCAGCTTTCTTGCAAACCGCCAGCTTGCGGTTGTCAATGACAAAAACATTGTTGACGCTTTCATTCCCCAAGTCATATTGAAACTGATCTGGTAATGTGAGGGATTCATCTGGAGGATGGAAATGGTTGATCTTGCAGATCAAAAGCTGGTATTTATGGAAGTTATGAAGATGTTCCAGCATTTGTTTGAGAGTGTACCTATACTGCAATAAGGAGAAAGATAGAGAAAGACGGACAAACATGAACGTACACAGTTGGGTTCTCATGTTGACATGATGGCCAATGGCACGTAAATTTGCGATCGTATGCCCAAGCCCCTTGATCACTGCCATATTTAATCCAGTGGGTTCCTATATGCTCACGCATACCGCGTTCATTCAGTGTACATCTGTATTTCATGGAGTTTTGAAACTAGTTTTTAAAAGAGAGCGCATGTTCATGACTTACTTTAAACGCTGTGCTGTCTTGGGTACTGCCATCCATGGCAAATTAGGATCAAATAGACAGATGGGACAGAAGATGACGTTGATAGAGGTCATACTGGGTGAGAGCTTGAATTGAGCTTTTAAAGTCAATCTATAAAATCATTGAGAATATCTGTGATGTGATTTGTGAACCGCTTACTGAGAATTCTCAACCTGCGTCTCATTTTGATGTTTAGAAGAGGTGAGAGCGGTAAGACACTGCTCAAAATGAAAATAGGCTTCTGGTGCCATCTCAGACTGAGTAGCGAGAACATCCTTGCGCGGGATGGGCAGCCAGATGCCGCAGAGGGAGCATAAAGTTTCTTCGGGTCGATGTTTCACAGAGCAGCCCCAGATGTGCTGAGACAGATGTTCTGTGTGGTTTTTGGAGCGTTGTGCGGCTGTAGACTTTGGATCCTCATGGCACCATAGGCAAATACCAGCCTTGCGCAAGATGTCGACCTTGAGGAGTGCTAGATACCATCCAAGAGCAGCAGCTGCAGGATTGGCAGAGTTTTTGACAGCTGCCTGAATGCCAGTAGGCTCCGTTAAGGCTGCAAGAGCCTCTGAGGCTGCTGCGGGATGGTTTATAGCAGTTGTGTAGTCGGTGGCAGTAGATGACGAAGTAAGTGATCCTGTTTTGAGCTAGGAGAGATTTAGCCAGAAGTAAAGGTAAGCAAGATAAACGGCTACCTTCATTTGAAGAATGGTCAACCGCTGGCTAACTCTTTGCAGCACACTCAAGGCATCTGCTACAACCCCATCTTCCTCAGCCTGGATGAGGTTAGTTATGAAGAAGAAGATATTTACAAGTATTTACCTTTTCAGGCAAATTGATTGACGTCTTGCCTTTGTACTCTTTTCTGACCAGATCTTCAGCAGTAGCCCATTCCTCCAACAGCAGAGGCATTTCTGGATCAGCTTGAAGGTGCTGAGGCAAAAGAAGACCCAGCTGATGATTTTTTTCACCGGGTCCGTTGGCAATAGAGCTATGAAATTGGCCTATACTGATGTCAGAAGCACCACCGTGCCACAAAGCTGCCAGATCAACAGGTCGATCAGGGGCGTGATATGTTGTTCCTGCTAATTTTCGGGCACCAAACGAGTGGCCAAGAATATGACGGAGGTATTCTTTTGGCATCTTGTTCATCATGTCACCTACAAAGCTGTAGCGGAATGCGCGTGTACTGAAGCCTAAAGAACATGCAAATAAGTGCGCGCGTAGGCAAAACTGGGCAGATATGTACGGGTCCATCCAAGTGTCTTGCCAATGGTATACATATGGTTTTGGACACTGCTGTAGCTCATAGCCTTTGTCTTATCTTCTGACATCCATACAGGCAGGTTCATAGCTTCTGGACGGAGTGTAAGCTTATAAGGAAAAGATGGAATGCGGGTATGATCTTGGAAGAGTGCCAAAACATCCTCCTGAAACACATTGTGATATATCCCGAGAGCGATGACTTTTAGATTAGCATCTTTCCATATGTTCTCTTGAGAAAGATGGTGGGTGTTGGTCTGAATGCTATAGAAGAGGGTCAGCTGAAAATCTAGATGAATAAAATGGGCCGCACAAGTTGGAGTCGTCACCGCGCATATTTTTGACAAAATGCCACTCCCAAAAGATATGTGTTGTCAGACCATACTCAGGAGTATGTCCAGTGAGCAATATCTCCATGTGCTGATGAACGATTGTCAAATTGAATTAAATAAAAGATAAATGACGCATTAAATACCTTGTAAAGAAAGCATTAATTTGTGCCGTCGTATGCACGACTCTCTACCAAAGCACCAATCCGTTGACCTTGCCCATACAATACACTTCCTATGCTGTCCAGATTAAGCCGCTGATGTGTAGACTTTAGAGAGCTAAACGGTGCAAATACAAGAGAACGTACCATCATGTTGGAGTTAATTGGGATAGCGGGGGAGTAGACCATCAAATGAAAGGTGTAAAGGTCTTCATTCCGAAGTGAGTGTTTCTCCCACTTTTTGGTAGACAAAATGTTGTCCACTTTTGCCCATGTTTTAATTGCCTAAGAAAGATGAAGGCCATTAGTTAAAAATTGAGGCAGTATTCAGACAGAAAGCCACGTTTAAAATATCTATGCATTGGCCAGGGGTAGGCTTTTGTGCACTAATACTCCTACGCTGTGTACAGATGGATTGACAAGAGTAATGCAGTGTATTAAAATGATGTACTCACCCAGCCTAGCACGCACAAAAAGAATGTGCGTGCAGTAGTAAAAGACCAACCCTTGCCTTTATCGAAGCGAGAGTCGGAGGAGGTGAAGACAGTGTGGAAGAAATGAATGACAGCTTCCTGCTGTGGCCAAGCAGAATCGCGGGCATATGTCATTTTGGCAGCATCTTCACTGCCCAGACGTTTGGTAAAATATACATGCCATAATGCCTGTGCACGTTCATGCTGCCTTTGAGTACTCAAAGTTACTGGAGCTAAAAATACCCGGTCAAAGCGAGCGGAATCTACCAGGAGGTCCTTAACTGTTTGAAACTGCTGGTCCATGATGTTCTGCAACTTGCGACCTGTTTGCTTGGGCTTAGTTGCAACTTTGGGTACAGGTGGACTCCATGCTGCCTGATTGCGAGGGGTGATAAAATCCTGTGCAGCTATATGCAAATGAGTGCCAGAGATAGAAGGAAGCTTGAGGGACTGAAGAGCAGCAATTGAAACTAGAAGAGAGTGAGATATATATGATGACTGTTTAATGTCAAGAGACACATACCTCGGGAGGTGGTTGGGGTTAATACAGGTTGAGGAGGAGCTGGGCAATTAATTATTAATCAAGTTAAGATACGAGAGGAAGACTTGGAGTAACACCTCTGAGAGGAGCATCGAGAGTAGAAGCAAATTCGAGGGCAGGCTGATGAGATGCTGCTATAAAGAGATAAGTTGAGTAGCATATATGCACAGTGAGATGAGATAAATACATGTTGAAGTACGTTTGCAAGGACGCGGGCTTGACTGAGGTGTAGGACCAGCAAATTCATAAGTTTCGTCAGTTGCACGGTTCTGAATTGGAGATTCAGGTGGGTTTATAGTATCTGAAATTTTTGCCTTGCGCTTAGCAAACATGATGAGTGTTTGAGACAAGAAGAGATTGATGAGCTGATGGGAACATATGTGGTCGACTTATTGGTGAAGGACTGCTAATAGGCGCTCGTGCGCCACGAAGCTGATAGTATCTGTTTTTGGACAAGCCTGATATGGTATGCAACAGGAGACCCACAGGACGTGTGGGTGAAATGGCTGTGAGGGGGAAAAATATCTTATGGGGAGGTACAGGATAAACTTACAGAGCTACAATGACTACAACAAGGACTGAGGAATGACAGGTGGATTTGTGCTCAGAAACTCGTCAACATATTGCAAGAGAACATTATCCAAGCTAACAAATTTTACCACCGAGCACAAGGCATGGTTTTCAAGCTGATGCAAGAGCTGTAAACGGTACAAAGACGAGAGCTCATCAGTTTCAGGATCAAGCTCTGTGGGAATGTGGGTCTGAATAGCTTCAAGAACACGAGCGAACATAGGGGTACAGTTCACCCCAAGGCCCTGGATTGACAAAGCTGGGTCAATCAGGACTGCGGGGCCAAACTGATACCTGTGGTTAGAATATGTAAGAGAAAAAGTAGTGAGTGCGATGCTTGCCAGATTGTATAAAGTCAACAGTCTGTTTCTTCCAGTCACCAGACGTTCTTTTCCACGCTTCCACTTGGTAAATTCAGTACTGCGCTCAGTACCACGTTTGAGGACAATATCAAGCTCATTGGAGGACAAGTTGGTGAGATCGTCATGTGCAGAGGCAAAGAGACGTCTGCACCACATTGCTCCTATTCTGTCGCACAGCTCGAGTCTGATGATATTCTGATAGCTGTCAAAATGAACCCCACCCGGATTGAACGGATGACCTTGAGGAGTCACGTGACCTGAACGACGCTGGAATCTCACGCTCTACCACTGAGCTAGGGGTCCATATTTGTGGAATCGCCCCAGTTGTATATCATCGTATTTTGCCAATACTCTGGGGTTAGCGTACTCGGCCGTTTCGCTCCGCGACGAACACACACACTCTCAGTGTCATTGTGCGAGAACATGGTGAAGGTTACCGTATCTGCTGCACGGAGCACCTCTCTAGCCCCAGGACTGCCTTATGTGGTTGACCTACCAGGTAAAACTATCAACGAAGCAACTGTGGCGGACGTCAAGGCCGCGTTCGCGTCCAAGTACCCCAAGGTATCTTGCTTTCCCCGCAATACGTCGCCTTGAGCTGACAGGACTGTAGTTCTATCCTGCGAGGCAAAAGTTGAGCACGACACAAGATAAGAAGGGATTGCCGAACGATACCACGCTTGCAGCGGCGGGTATTGCTGACGGCGGCGAAGTGGTGGTGAAAGATTTGGGCGCACAGATAAGTTGGACGACAGTGTTCGTCATTGAATATGTGCGTTATATCATGGCACCGGCTGCTCTTCGCTCACACGACCGAAACTAGATTGGCCCTCTCATCGTACACTCTTTGATCTATTTCTTCCCCGAGGTTTTCTATGGCGGTCCCGTCCAACATAGCATGCTGCAGAAGTACGTCCACAACCTATCACCTTCCAATTAATATTAACAGGTCTTCAAGATTCGTGTACGCTCAGGTGATGCTGCATTTCCTGAAGCGCGAATACGAGACCCTATTCGTCCACCGCTTCTCGAATGGGACCATGCCGTTTGTTTATGTATTCCGCAAGTACGTGGCAGAACATGTCTTTTGGCGTATTACTGACGTGCCACCCAGCTCCCTCCATTACCACATCTTTGGCGGTGTATTTCTTGCGTACGCGATTTACAGACCCTCGTATGGCATCTCTTCTCCGTACATCCAAGGCACTATACGCGACGACCCTCGGTTCTTGTGGGCATGTACCGCGGTTTGGCTTGTGCGTTGGCATTTGCATGACATAATCGTGTTGCTGACGGCCCCAATCCCAGTGGGCAGAATTGTCAAACGGGATCACACATATCACACTTCGAAACTTACGGCCGGTAGGTACAAGGAAGCGTGCCATTCCTTACGGATATGGCTTCGACCTAGTATCTTGCCCGAATTACACATTCGAAATCATCGGATGGAGCGTCATGTCCATTATGACCGGTAGCTACGCTGGTGAGTCGCACCGGATACACTCATATTGCATTGTAGTTCTTATGCGTCCTTGTTGTAGCATGGTTCTTTGTACTTGCTGGTTCATACGCCATGTTCTCTTGGGCTATGAAGAAGCACAGGAACTACAAGAAGGAATTTGGCGACAAGTATCCCAAGAGGAAGATCATCATCCCATTCATCTTTTAAACGTATCTGCTCTGCGGCATGCGTTTGCAAAATTAGAGCCATAGAATCAATGTATCGGTCCAATGTCTTGCTAATATATAGAAAAGGCCTTATCCCTGGCTGACCCTTCGACCTTGTCACGTAGGCCGTTAAGCGTATACATAAGCGCCAGATGAGGGTTTATGGGCGTCTCATTGAATGTGATAGCAGCGACTCCATCGCACAACCTGCTTATATCTACCATCCGCGATGGCACAAGCAGCCTCGTCTTCACGGGCCTTGAACGCCATTCTACCCCTGATCTCCTCAGGGCAACCATATGAAGCGCATCAGAAAGCCCGCACATTTGCATCCCGATACCAGAAATCAGGTCAATATGACACCGCCATTGACGTCTTGTTTCAATCAGCTCGCGAGCTACTGAAGGTCGGACAACAAGGCAGCGGGACTGATCTCGCGTCGTTCTTGCTAGACGTATATGATGCGAAAGGAGAGGATGTGAACGAGGAGAGCCGGGGTACGTTCAGTCCATACGATGGATTCTACCCTTGTCGACCGCTTTACGCCCCATAGGCCGATTAACCCAACTCATTGCATTAACGGGCTCCTCGGGCGCATGGCGCAAGACCATTGTCGACAAGGCAGTATCGTACGTCTCATTGGCCGTTGATGCTGTTCAACGACGCTGAAGCCAACGCAGGTGGTCTGCGAGGTCTGGACCTTGTCCGTCTGGGGACCCGGGCCTGCACCATTACGTCGCTGATATACTATACAAAGGTTTGACCGAACTAGTCCTTGGTTCCTGATGAAATCTTACATTCATTGGCTCAGAGGGTGCTTTTGAAGTGGCCGAGCTGCACTATCTCGCAGCAGGAAAGCGCGATAGTGCGAGAAGTCTCGCACAGATGCACGTCGAATGGTCATCAACTGGGGGAGCACCGGGTGCATTTGCTCTTCGTGGAACCATTCCGTAAGTGAGCTCGCACTACGTACTCCTCGCCTTACCCTTTGTTTTCGTCACCGTCTACCCTTCGTTCCGTGCACAGAGCTTTCGTCTCGTGGTGCTCATTCTCGGGTCCACAACTTCCTGTACTGACTGTTTGTTACACGGTAGGTATCTTCAGAATGGGAACATCTTGGCAGCTCGTTCTTTCCTATCGCATCTAGTCTCCCAATTTGCCGCGTCGCGGCCAGATTTCGTATCTCCCCTTCAGCCTTCCCCAATCCCCGTTGGGAGAACAGATTCTAGCGAGATGGATGAAATGTTCCTAACAACAGATCCGCTAGTGAACTTCGCTCAACTCGCGGTACGCACGTGTCAGCGTGCCCAGGGGGACAAGAACAAGCCGATGCGAGAGGCGTGGATACGGCTATGCGGCACCTACCAGAGTAAAGGGAGCCTCCTCGCCGTTAAAGAAGTCCGAAAGGTGGGTTCAATCACTTCTCTGTTTACCACCGGAGTCGGCTTTGATTCGTGCTAGCGCGTCTCGGTGAAGGATGCGCTAGCCGGCCTCCGAGTCCTTCACACACCTGGGTGAAAGCGTTGGCAGAGGCTTCTCTATGGTAGCCCTCTCCGCCCCGATTTCCGCGGTGGAGCACCTTCACCACATCACAGTTTCTTACCATTCACTGACCCACGCGATCTTCTGATTTCTCACAGTCACTGAACGAAATCTCGGAGCTCTTTTTCTCTATACCTCCGCCCCGAGGGCAACAAGCGAATCCTTTCGGCGACATGTTATCTGCCATGATGGGTGGCGCCCCGCCTGCGAGAGGGGCGGCTCCGAAGAGGGTGCTGGCGCCAGCAAGTAGTGCGCCAAGTCTTGACTGATCGCTACGAGAGAAGCTGGAGGTTGGACTCAACCGCTTGGCGAGAAGGCCGGTATAGCCGCAACCATCGCTCATCGTGGAGCATCTCTTCCTGAATTGATAATGTATGGTGTGTACGCACGAAAGACCGGATGCCAGATGAGCGTATGATATGACGACGGTAAAATGTACTCTGACCGAACAAAAATGAACAGAGCGCACCAATGCTTCGGATTTCTTACTCAGGTATTAATTGTGCGAGTTGGGCGACCGGTGAAGTACCTTACTCCGCCTTTTTCGTGAGGCGGCGCCGCGTTTGAACGTCAGTGGATAAAGATGCGCATTGCCTCGTACGGAGAAGTGTTCTAGACCTGAGAACAGGGAACTCGGTGATCTACTAGACGCGAATCCGCTCAGGCTCCACCCTTCCGCACCGTAGGAGACTGCGGCATGCTGGCAGGGGCGGGGCCGGTGGTATCACCATTAATAATATCTTGTATGGAGGCTTCTAACGCATCAACTCGCGTGGACATCTGGCCCACTAGTAGTTCAAAGTCGGCCAGAACGTCAGCGCCCGCTTTGATGAGACAACCGCTGTGGGGATCGGATGACTTACTACGATCGAGGATCTGAGTAGACATGTCGTCAAACTTGGTGTCCAGCTGTTCCAACAGCGCCTCGACCTGCAGATGCCGTTAGAACTCTTGGCGGCCGCAGACATTCAGATAACACACAAAGGCTGTAAGTTCATGGGGACTGGATATATCGGAGGCATTTGGTACGACTTTGGGCGCGTTTGTGGCAGGCGCAGGAGTTTTGTTTGCTGGTGCAGGACTACTAGCGGTCCTGGACGGTGTTACAGTGGATGTAACATTCAAAGGAAGAGCTGCAGTTGTGGGTGGCGGCATCACCTAACGCTGAATATGAAAGCCAACGCCAGGAGTGCATATGAGCGGTGTTCGGATACGCTGCTGACAGCAGAGCAACCGTGCATTCAAAGAGAGTCTACTGACCGGACCGTGTTCAATATGCGACAAAGATATGTACACGATGGTGGCAGTTAAGAAACATCGTTCCAAATCCGGACGTGTTGCGTTTGCAACTCGCTGGATCTGAGATCACAGACGCAGCGGAACACCCCGGGAACATCAAGGTTTCCTTTTATAGTTACTTTTACAACTTGATGTCCAGATTTAATGTTGCGCTCCCGAGCTCTCTGACGCACCGACTACGATGAGCGCTGTGTACGAGTTGTACGCGCACTCTACCTCCACAAGAATAAAACGAATGTACTTCCACCTCCAGACGCGTAGAAATACAGTCCGTTCGGCCCGGTGATGCTCAGCGCCCACATCTTCAGGTGAGCGCCACCAAATCCAGCTCATCCACGCTTCGTACACGAGGATGACTGAACAACAGAGTTCACAGCCCACGCAGAACGCTCTGCCAGGAAGCTAGAAGACATCCCGTGCCTAAATTTTCTAACGAAGCGCAGTATTCGTAGACAGGACGGCTCTCCCTGTCTGTCTTCCTCGCCACCGCGGCCGCTAACTGCAATACTTACCCAACAAGGTTACAGGGCGATACTCGGACGATTTAAGATTTCCATCCTCACATCGACGTTGAGAGAATGCTCAGCCATTGTCCGACGGAGCGGTGCGCGTGTGTGCCTCGTTTCCTGTCTAGTGCGCCTGCAGCTCATAGAGCGACGAGAAGGACAATGAGGTGCGCAACGGCTGGCTTACACGACTGCGGTTGATTCGTAATGTTGACAGAAGCCAGAGCAAATTTGTAGACAGATAATCATAGGGTCAGCCCAGCTCAGCTTGTGAATTTGTAAAGTTCA